GACAATGGCGTCCTGCACCTTTTCCATATAGAGCTTCATACAGAGTCATACCAATACTTGCCTAGAAGCTGTCATTGCAAACAAACTCAATTAAAGGTATGTGATCTTCCTAGCTTCCTCCAAAATCCAAAACAAAAAGCCTCAACATATCTTCTAAAATATGAATAACTCTTTTAGACAGCCCATCTATATGGGGTTCAAAGCCGCACTGAAATTTAATTTCATCCAGAAACATTTCTGAATACATCTCCACAGCTTCGAGGTATAAACTTGTCATCACGATTAGAAACAATAACCTTATGAATTACATGCAACTTGACGATCTCTTTCACATACAGTTGAGCCAGCTTATCAATAGAATCTATTTGCCTCATTGGCAAAAAATGAGCAGACTTCATTAATTTATCTATAATCACCCATATCGCATCATGACCTTGCCTAGACGTAGGAAAATACATAGCAAAACTCATAGTAATCTCATCTCACTTCCACTCACAAATAGGCAATTATTGTAATAATTATTTGGGTTTATGATGCTCGACCTTTACCATTTGACATATTTCACACCTAGAAATAAACTCTGCCACTTATCACTTCAACTCAGGTCACCAAAACATGCACTTCAGATCATGATACATTTTATTGTTGTCTGGATGAATACAACAACAACAACATCAAGCCTTTGTACCACTACGTGGGGTCAGCTACATGAATCCTTTTTCGCCATTGTGTCTTGTTAAAAGTCAAATTATCATTTAAATCTAATAAAGAATGATCATTTCTTATATTTTATAATCAAGTCTTTTTAGGTCTACCTCTACCTTTCTTAACATAAGTCAAATCTAATATCTCAACTTTCCTATCCGGGTCATCGGAAGACTTCCGTTTAATGTGACTAAACCATCTAAGGCGACTTTCTCTAATCTTATCTTCCATTGGAGGTACTCCAACCTTTTCACGTATATGCTCATTTCGTATCTTATCTCTAAGGGTAAAGCCACTCATCCACCTTAGCATCCTCATATCTGCAACACTTAACTTAGTATTATGCTTTTCTTTTAATGGCCAACATTTGGCACCATAAAGCATTGCAAGTCACCACCATCTTATAGAATTTTACTTTAAGTTTGAGAGGGACTTTCTATTGCACAACAAGCCCGATGTATTCCTCCACTTCAACCATCCAACTTGAATTCTACTAATAATATCCCCATCTATTTCACCATCACTATGATCAATAGATCCAAGATATCTAAAACTTGTACTCTTATTAATGACTTGATCGCCCAAAGTCACAATCCTCTCACTAGGTCTATTGCTACTAAAGTTATACTCCATATATTTAGTTTTAGATCTACTCAAGAGAAAACCTTTAGACTCAAGGTTGACCTCCATAATTCAAGTTTATCTTCAACTCCCTCTCTGGTCTTATCAACACGAAGAATATCATCAACAAAAAGCATACACCAAGGTACATCCTCTTTGCAAATGTCTAGTGAGAACATCCATGACTAAAGCAAGATATGAACTTAAGGCTGATCCTTGATGTAATCCAACCGAAATAGGAAAATACTTGGTCAAACCACCTTGTGTTTGAACACAATTAATAACTCATGCATACATATCTTTAATGATTTGAATATAAACGTTATTAACTTCTTTTTTTTCAAGAACTCTCCATAGCACTTCTCTTGGAACTTTATCATATGCTTTCTCTAAATCAATAAATATCATATGTAGGTCCTACTTATTCTCTCTATATTTCTCCATCAAACCTCTCAATAAATGTGTGGCTTCCATAATAGACCTACCCGACATGAATCCAAATTGATTTTGAGAAACATTAGTATCACGCCGCAACCTATGCTCCATAACTCACTCCTATAGTTTTAAAGTATGACACATAAACTTAATTCCTCTATAATTCGCACACTCATGTGCATCACCTTTATTTTTAAAAATAGAAATTAACACACTCATTCTCCACTGATTTGACATCTTTTTAGTCTTCAAAATAGTATTAAAAAGTTTAGTAAGCCAAGAAATTCCTTCATCTCCTAAGCATTTTCACATCTCTAATGGAATATCATCAGGTCCAACAGCTTTTCCACACTTCATTTTCTTTAAAGCCTCTCTAACTTTGGTTTTTACTAATATGCCGATAAAAACAAAAATCTTTATTTTTGTTTATGATGCTGAAGTCACTAAAGTCAATCGTATTTTCACATTCTCTTTCCTCAAATCACAAAATAGTGGGCTTAATATAGAATCTCTTTCCTAAAATCACAACTATTCGGGACCCACAACCTATTATCATTGAAGATCACACCCTGATCATCATTCACTTGTAATTCTAACCTCTTCTCATACTGAATTTAATCTATCAACTTCACATATTTCTTATCCACTTTATGAGCTTCTTTAATTCTATCCTATAACGAGGGTCGAACTATTATCTGGAAAGTGGCTACAATTGACACGCTAGATAAGTGTGTACCATTTCTAATTTCAGTCTTTTCATCTATAATCAATGTCTATGTATAAGTAATTGCAGAAATTATTGTATAGAGGTTTTATCAGGCTAAGTGGATTGTTGTGGAGAGCTTTAGTATTATTTGCGAAAAAAGAAGGATGGATCTCTGAGGATGTGCATTGATTATCAGGAGCTAAATAATGTGACAGTGAAGAACAAATATCTATTGCCCATGATAGATGATTTGTTTGATCAATTGGAAGGTGCAACTATATTCTAAAAGATTGATCTATGGTTTGAATGCCATTAATTGACAATAAAGGCTGAAGATATAGCGAAGATATCCTTCAACACTGGATATGGGTAGTACGAGTTTCTGGTAATGCTATTTTGTGTTAAAATGCATCGTTAGTGTTTATGAATCTAATGCATCGAGTATTGAAGGAGTGTCGGGTTTAATTTATTATTATAATTATTGATGATATTTTGTAGTAGTCGAAGTCTAAAGAGGAATATGCAGTTCATCTGAGATTGACTTTGGAGACTTTAAGGCAACATAAACTATATGCTAAATTCTTTAAATATAAGTTCAGGTTAACTTCTGTGGCATTTTTTGGGCATGTGAGTAAGGAAGGGATTACTATGGACCCCCAAAAGGTGCAGGCTATAGTAGGTTGGCCGAGGCCGATATTAATTACCGAGGTCCGTAGTTTTCTTAGCTTAGCAGGTTATTACAGTAAGTTTGTCAGAGGCTTTTCATATATTGCAATCCCTCTAACAAGATTGACTCAGAAAGCCATATTGTTCGTTTGGACACTAGAGTATGAAAGAAATTTCCAGAAGTTGAAAGAGTGTCCAGTGTCAGCCCCGTATTAACTATTTTGTCAGGTTTAGAAGGATTTCAGGTGTACAATGATGCTTCCTTAAAAGTCTAGGGTGTGTATTGCAACAAAATGAGAATGTAGTTGCAAATGCTTCAAGGCAGTTAAAGAAGCATGAGAAGAACTATTCGGCTCGAAATTTGGAATTGGCGGCAATTATATTCGTTTTGAAGATTGGCGTTATTATCTATATGGATCACTAGAATTTAAAGTATATTTTCACCCAAAAAAATTGAATCTATGAATATAAGGCAAAGAAGGATTATGATATGGATATTACCTATCAGTCGGGTAAAGCAAATGTGATTTCTGATGCTTTGAGGAGAAAATTTGTAGAAGCGACATCCAATTTTCAACTCTTGCAACTCCCTAGGTGCCATTCTTTAAGGAGTTTTTGCTAACAGAGTTGTATTTGACATGACTTTAATACAAAACTCCACCTACCTCTCTGGAGGCAAACTATACAACTCTTCAAGAAAAAGCATCCAGGAAATCTTTTACCACTTGAACATCTTCAAGACCCTTAAAAAATTTATTTAAATCTCTCATACATGACAGGAATACAAAATTCCCTTTCTTTCAGGTCTTATCCACTTGCAACACAAAAATCAAAGAAGATAAGACACTCCTACTATCCAGAAAATAAAACACATCCCCGTCTACGCACAAACTCACCTGCTTCTTACTACAATCAATATGAGCTTGATATTTTCTCAACCAGTTCATACCTACTATCACATCGAACTCTTTTAGAGGCAATACAATCAGTTTTGATTTCAACTTTTTATTTGCCATGTTTGATTCCTGTGGGTATTGTAGCTACTTGTGAATTATGACTCCCTTGTGATCTGGGTATTGTGGCTTTATTACAAAATCTATGCAAATTCCTTGCAATTCAGGTATTGTAGCTCTATTACAGGATATACGCTGCTTCCTTTCAATATGGATTCTCTTGATGGTTACTCGTGGTATGCGGAATTGTGGCTTCCTTGCAATCTATTTTTAGATTTTGAACTGTGGGGGATTTCTACCACCATCTTGTGATCTTGTAAATTGAGGGGATCTTTAATTATCAATATGAGGCATATAAATAATTTAATTTTCTATTTTGATTACATATTAATTTTCTATTTGCTCGAGTGCTGATTGTATATGAATATCTTTCTAACCCTGGTACAATAGGAGATTCAGATTTTGATGCGAAGTTAACTTGTGTACCTTCATGAAGATTTGATTGTTATTTGGTGATTTTTTTCCTTTTCCTTATTTTCTATTCTCTAATTTTGTGATTGATGCATGATTGATTATTTTGAAATTTGGTACAATATATATTTTTATATTGCAAAGTATGATTCTGATCAAACGAGTATTTTTTTTTTAAAATCCAAAATATCTGTGCTAGATTTCTATTGTTTGACTATTAAGTTATTGCTTACAAGGATTTGCATATTTTTCAATTTTCAGTTAAAGTGGATTTTGCATATTTTTAGGATTGTGTGTGCGTGTGCACACACATTTGTATGTGAATGAATGAATGTATTATTATGTTGTATTTTATTGATGAGTTGTTTTTCTACACTTTATGTAACTTTGTATTGAGGAGTTCTCATACACTTTACATGATATTCCTTCCTTCTGCTTATTAGGGATTTAGGAAGATTGATCCTGATCGCTGGGAATTTGCAAATGAAGGGTTTTTAAGAGGACATAAACCTCTTCTAACATACATAAACAGAAGAAAACAATCTCTTCCTCAAAATGCTTCATTTCCATCATGCGTTGAAGTGGGAAAGTTTGGGTTAGATGCATATATCGAAAGGCTGAAGAGGGACAAAAATGTTCTCATGCAGGAACTAGCAGAGCTGAGGCAGCGGCAGCAGGCCACAGACGCTCTGCTGCAAGCCTTAACAGCCCACGCTCAGGGGATGGAACAGCGCCAGCACCAAATGATGTCATTCTTGTCTAAGGCCATGCATAGCCCAGAACTCTTAGCCCAATTGGTTCAGCGCAAGCGATCCAATAACGACATTCCTGATAGCAACAAGAAGCAGAGATTGCCCAATCAAAGAGATTTTGAACGTGAAATTTCCACCTCTGCTGGACAAAGAATCAAGCATCAGCACAACTTGCAAACCGAGGCAGCCAAGCCGGTGCTCATGCAGATACCAACTTCAGACAAATCCTCCATATCGGATTCTGCCCAACTTGGAAATTTTTATTTACCAATCGATGTTTTGGACACTAGCAGACTTTCTTCAATTAGTAGCGATGGAATCCCTGTAGTTTGTTCTTCTTCTGCTGTATCTGAAATCTATTCAGTTGCTCCTGAGCAAATTCCTCAGGCAGTTACTGGTTTTCAAGATCCCTCTCAAATGCAAGGTATTATGCCTGATGAACGTATTGCTGACATCCTGAGAACGAGTTTTTTGACATTTGAAGCAGAAAGCACTCTCGTTATTCCTTCTGCTGGAATTGATGAGATGATTCCTGTTGAAAATGGTATCTCTAAGTTAGATGAGGTTTACTCTTTTTGGTATTCAGCAGATCCACTTTCTGGGGAAACTGATGTGGCCAATTTAAACATACCTGAAGATAACGAGATCCCAAAAGTACCTGTGAAAGAGTGGACTGGGATCAGAAATTGGAAAACTTCACGGGCCATATGAAGACGTAACTAACAAAGCTGATAGCTTTTACTAAACTTAGAACTGCTACTCCAGGTAGCTCTGGATTATTATTCCTTTTGGTTCTCTGTGTGCTATATATATATAAACGAAAGGGTTAGCTAAATCCAAACAAAGTCATCCATACCCGACAAAGATACCTCAAACAGTTCTATCTGAACATCAAATAGAAATATATATTATATGAAGTATAGATAGAGCTGTTTGAGGTATCTTTGCTGGATATGAATGGCTTTGTTTGGGTTTAGCTAACCCTTTCGTGTGGCTCTCCACTTCCCGAATGGGGTTTCATAAGATTGAAATGTACGCTACGCATCTTCGTTAAATGCTCTTTTCATCGCTTTAGTGGTGTAATACTACTGAACAATTTTTAGGAAAATGTCATAAGATGGCGGCCTTGTTTGGCTGGATGATTGATGAATGTGAACTAGTTATCCATGGCATAGCCCTGTCACTCTTAATTCATGTGCACTCATGTTTTTATTTTATTTTTATTTTTTTTAAGGGCAGAGCCTATTTCATTACTATATGAAAAAGTACAAAATGACGGAGCCAAAATAAATTGCCAAAAATCACTTAGATGCCCAGTGCAGCCGACAAAGGAGAAGTTATTACGTGCAGAATTCGAACCTAGAAATAGGTGGTCTGAATATAATTTGATACATGTAGTGTAATTGTGTTGCATTTTTTTTTTGTGCTTTAGTTGTACTTTTCTTACATTTTGATTGCTCTTTTGTTATGTTTTTTTTACTGCGCATTGAGTGATGCGCTTGGTTTAAAGTTCCGCGGCACATTAAATATATAAAATGTGTGTATAGTTATTTAAAATGCGTGTTAAGTAAAAGAAAATTTTAAGATAATTATTGAATTTCCATCTTAACTTGGAAATATGTTTTTGTTCAAAGCACATTTAGTTGCTAATGAAGTTATGAATATTTTTCATTGTCAGAATATTTCTTATGAATAAAACATTTATATGTATTTAAAATGTAGCATTTGATGAAAATTTAATTTTGATTTTTAATTAATGAGTGATCTATTATTCTTCATATTGTTTCATTTTAATAATTATTACATAACAACTTTGAATATTTTCTTCTTCTTCAATATTTGATCCAATTATTAAAAAATTGATTCTTGCTCAGTTTTGTTCCATGAATTTGATCAATCTGAGATAATTTGATTTAAAAAAAATAGATATTGATATATCATCAAGAAATTATGTTGATCGGGCACGAGTCTCGAAGCAGAATCAAGTTGGAAATTTCAAAAATTAAATTAGAGACCATCTAAACTTCGATTTCAGCAAACTTATAGTCGAACTGAATGACTCAAAAAGACGGACCCAATGACACCAAATTCGACTCAATCCGAGCTCAAATGAGTCCAAATCAAAGACCCAAAGCTCATTTTGAAGGTTGAATCAATAATTTGGATTACCGAACATTTTCCAAACATTGCGTGCTTATAGTCGAATCGAGCGGCTCGACAAGACAAATCCAACGAGCCTAAGATTGTCAATTTTTGATATCATTAAGACATTCAAATCTTCAATAAATGCATCATGATTAAGGGATTCAACATCAGTTGTCCATTCAAACCACTCCCAACTTACCCATGATCTCTTTTTTATTTATCGGTCATGCCACTCTCAAAAAACTATAAATAGCCACTCTCTTCAGAGGAGACCCAAGCAAGAAGAAGAGAATAATAGGAGGGAAAAAATTTCTCCTCTACCACCGCCAGAATTCTGCCCAACGCGAAAGTGACGTCAGAATTCTGCTCGACGCCCAAGTGACTCCGAAATTCTGCGCAAGTGAAGCCGGAATTCTGCCTGACGTTCAAGTGACGTCGGAATTCTTCCCGATTTTCAAACAACGCCGAAAATTTGCCTGATCTCCAAGTGACACTAGAACCCTGCTCGACATTGTAACTGGATTTCAATCCAGAAGTGATTCATTGTAATCTGATCGTCCTAATTTTTAAAGAGGAGTTAGCCTCTTGTATCTCAAGCAAATACTATTAAAACTTTTTTAACTAGACATGGCCCCGTTGGTTTTCCCTTTCCATGGTTTCTTATATAAAAATCATATTGTTCTTTTATCTTCTGTTTATGTGCTGAATATCCATACAACACTAAGACGAATACTTTCTAACTCCATCGCCACGTATATTCTAGTCCGCAAGAGATATATTCATTAATTATGATAGATTTGATCGACTAATGTCTTCAAGAAACTCACCAATATATTTTCCTAATTGTTAAAAAAAGCATTTTTGTCGATGAAAAAAATATTTCCTTAATAAATTTGTTGACCGCTCGGTGTTATCTTATTGCTAAATTTTTTACGAAAGGAATTTCGCTCTAAGAATAAAAATATCAGTTCGAGGGCCAACGGCTATTTTGTCTTATTTTAAATATCTATGCACCGCCGATTTAATTTTTACTCTCTCCTCAACGGCTACAATTTGAATGGCTGCAGCCTCCCCCCTGCCGTCTTATACGGGAATGCTGAGATATTCAAACTATTTGACCGTTGGAATTAGAGTTTAGGCATCCGCTCAATAAATGGTTTCTCCTATTTCTTTTTATTCAGAACACAAGGAAGAAGAACGAAGCGAAGCAGACAGGTAAAAAGGCAGCGATAGATTGAGAAGAGATAAGAGAGAGAAACAGAGGAGGAGGAAGAAGAAAGGAGAAATCCTTTCTTTTCGCTCAGCTCCTGTGTCGGATTCTTCGCAAGGACGGCGGAGAGCAAGAACACGGAAGGGGGGGAGTCACTGAGAACTCGCCTTCAATCTTTATTCTCTTCCTCGTGGTTAAGTTTCTTTGGGCAGAGTCACAACCAGGTAGGAGGAGGAGGAGAAAGAGAGGAAGGGATGGCGACAAGAAATCATGCTGAGGCGCTCCATAATCAGATAGGTAAGGATTGCTCCAAAGCTTTGTGTTTCCATCTTTGGGTTGATATTTTAGATCTGGATATTCTTTTTATTAATATTATTATTCAAGAATGAGTTTTTTCTTGATCAACTGAATTGACGCCTAAAGCGAATATGGATTCAGATTAATTGCTTGATCCTTGATGGGTTGAAATCACATTATTTCTTTTCTTAGTCTTCTTGGTCTGTTTCTTTATTTACGTACCTTCTTTATGACTTTATGTACCTTAATTTTCTTCTCAAATTCAATTTTACTGCTCCATTGAAGGGGCCGCCATGCCCACAGTTAAGCAGAAGACAGCCGCTGCTGTTGGAGATGCTAAAAACCGGAAAGCTCTTGGAGACATTGGAAATATGGTCAACCTTCACATAATAGATGGGTAATAATAAATTTAAAGTCATTATCAAACTCTTTATTTCCATAATCGTGCCCTGTTTGTACCAATTTTTTTTATTTGCAATCATTTATTTCTCCAGGAAGCCCGTCCATCGCCCAGTTACAAGGTATTCACATATGGCCACCATTGTTTTTTGATATCATCAGAAATTAATTTAGCTACAACTTAATCAACAACACAATCTAATGCTTAACATGCTTGACCTCTAGAAGTTTTGGTGCTCAGCTGATAGCCAATGCACAAGCAGCAGCAGCTGCTAAGGTAACATTTTCAATTAATCACAATCTGCAACTCGTATCATTTGCTTATTTTTCTTAGGAGTGTCTTACATATTTGTTTCCGAATTTCTTAGAAATTCAAAAAACAAGTAGCTCTACCTTCTGATGACGCAACTGCAAAGAAGAAGCCCGTTGTCAAAAATTCGAAGCCTGAGGTAGTAATTGATATCAGTCCAGCAACTAAACAAAAGGAAAAACAGGAAAAGAAAAGTTCTCATGTTTCCTCTTCAAAGAAGAAAGTTCATTCCCTAAGTTCTGTGCTAACAGCTCGTAGCAAGGTACTGTAGTAATAGTTATTAGAATTAGAATTTTCGTTGCCTGCTTTCAGGGCACGTGATTAATATTATTTCAGGTTGCATGTGGGATCCAAGATATTGATGCTGCTGATGTTGATAATGAGTTGTATATGTCTGAATACGTTGAGGATTTATACATATTCTATAAACACCAAGAGGTAATGAGCAAAATCAAATTAAGCTTTAAAATTATATAGATAATTGTGTTATCCAAACACATTTTTTTATTCAGATAACAATGCTAGTGTGTTTTCTATTAAGTTGATGAAGGCTTCGTTTGGGATGACTTTCTTAATGCTTCTCAAAATAGTTTTCGAGTACAAAAATTTTAACTTTTGTACTAAAAAATTATTTTAAAAAATTATAAGAAAGCCATCCCAAACGAAGCTTAAGTCTACCAATATCAAATATCATCAAAATAAAACTTAATTTTATTTATAGTTAATGTGGCCTGTAAATGGTCTAACATCAAATCAAAGAACACCTAAGCTTCATAGTTATTATCAACTTATCTGACACGTCTATGTGGCCTGTAAATATGCAGAACCTCTGCCGCCCTCAGGATTATATGAGCTCACAAGTGGAAATTAATGCGAAGATGAGGGCCATACTTGTGGATTGGTTAATTGAAGTGCATTACAAACTTGAACTCATGCCAGAGACCCTCTATCTCACCATGTCCATCATTGATAGATATCTATCAGTGGAGTCAGTTCTAAGGAAAGAACTTCAGCTTGTTGGAGTTAGTGCTATGCTTATTGCGTGCAAGTATGAGGAGATTTGGGCTCCCGAGGTACATACTTCATTTAATTTACTGTATTTGTATTAACTTTTCATGAACAATTATGCTTTGTTGCAGATCAATGACTTCATTTATATTTCGGATCGAGCCTATACCAGAGAGCAAATACTTAAAATGGAGAAAGAAATTTTAAATAAGCTTGATTGGTGCTTGACATTTCCAACCCCATATGTATTCATTGTTAGGTTTTTGAAGGCTGCAGCTTCTGACAAAGAGGTAAAAATTCGAACAGCCTACTAAAATTAATAGATTTATCTTGTGCTTCATACTTTTTCAATCTTGTACCCGATTGAACTCAGATGGAATACATGACATTCTTCCTCGCGGAACTCTCATTGATGCACTATTCGATGGCGGTGATGTATTGTCCTTCAATGATTGCTGCTTCTGCTATCTATGCTGCACAATGTAGTTTGAAGAAGAGTCCACTATGGAATAGAACTCTACAGTATTACACAGGCTTCTCAGAGAAGCAATTAATGTATGCAAAATTTCTGTTCTTCTAACCAAGCCTTTATCTTCAATTTGCAACATTAAGGAGATATATATGTAAATTAATGTGTTTCTTATTTCTTGTTTCACAGAGAGTGTGCTAAGAATATGGTAAGCTTTCATTCAGCAGCACCAGGTAGCAAGCTCACTGTGGTGTACAGGAAATACTCAAAAGATGAGCTTGGAGGCGTTGCGTTGAGGTCTCCGGCTACAAAGTTTGGAGAATGATGGGAGAGCAGCAAGTTCCTCAGTTGCTGGCTTCTGCTTAGTTGAGGAAGTGGGTGAGAAGAGATCAAGGATTAATACGATGTTGGTTTTACTTTTTGGTCAGAAGATTTTTTGTTGATCTATAGGTTTTCTGTTCTTCTGCATTTCATGTTTCAAATTATAACGATTGTGTGATGCTGCACTAGCATTTTTAATAGAAAATTTTTTAAAGCCAACTTTTGTTCTTTTTTCCTTTCATGTTGTAGCTTCAGGCTTATTAACGTTAATTTTTTATGAAGTGTTGACCTCTTATTTGCTTGAGATGGATTAACACACAAAGTATTCAGATCAATTTAAAGTTAAGAATAATGGAGAGATTAATCAATCTATCTTCCAATCAAAGGGCTTTGGCCAATTCCTCAATCTCTAAGAGGAAGATTAGATGATGGTGATTTAGTGCTCATTCACACTCAACCAAACAGGTTATTTAAGTGAAATTGTTGAAAAAGAAAAAAATGCCATCAATTGTATAATTGACATGATCTGATCTTATGAAAATCCTGAATCAAAATTTCCTTTTCTCATTCAGAATCTCAAGGATGTTATTTTGAAGATGAGTTCCATCTAACAATTAATTGACTTAGCTTAATTTACAAAGCCATCTAAGGCTTCAAATGAGTTCCATCTAATCTTTCTAATTGCTTTCTAAAACAAATTTTTGTACTAAAAATATGCTTTAAAAATAGTAAAAAAATTATCCCAAATAAAATTTAATTCGATTAAACGTACACCTCTACTTTTAGGCCATGCAGGATTAATATTTCTCGTCTATAATAAACTGTTCAGAGCTTGTTTGGCAAATTGTAAAGCTACTTAATCAAATTTAAAAACGGTAACACATAGTGAAGTTTGATTAAAAACATGAGTTTGGTCAACCTAATTTTTTATCCAAAGGCAAATAAAATGATTTAAAAAATTATGTTAGTATTAGTTATCTTTCTTTATAAAATTTCAAAATTACTTTTAAAAAAAATAAAAATATCAAATCATAATAAATTTTAGATAAAATAATTCTATATTTTTTTTATAAAAATCTTCCCAATATTTAAAATCCAAAGGCAAATAAAATGATTTAAAAAATTATGTTAGTATTAGTTATCTTTGTTTGTAAAATTCCAAAACTACTT